ATCAAATAATTTGGGGTGCAACGAGACAAACCAAATAACTTTTTTATAAAATTAACCAGAACCGGATCCAATTCGTCATATTGGTATCCCCAAACCTCAGATGCATATAACATAGATGATTTAACAATTGAATTGAAAATCCTTAGACAATCTTTCAAATTTCGCAATTTCGCCGATCTACACATTTGAATAACTTTATCAGTTTTAACAAAGGCATTCTTTTTAACAGTCTGAATATGATATTTAAATTTACCATTAAATCTGAATACAACACCCAGATATTTATATTGAGAAACTATCTGTATTACATCATTCCTAAACCACCATTTATCCAATTTAGCAAGTTTACCACCATTACGGAAAACAACAACTTTAGATTTCATAATATTCAAGCTCATATTATTTTCTAGTAAATATTTATCCAAAATATTAATAAATCCTTGTAAGCCTCTAACTGAGTCGGCAATTAAAACTATATCATCTGCATAGGCCAATATTTTAATGTTAATGCCATTCACCTCGATACCTTCATAGTCAGAATTAGTTATTTGTTCAATTAAATCATTTAAATATACACTAAACAAAACAGGACTTAAAACACAGCCCTGTTTAACACCAGTAACAGTGAAAAAAGACCTAGAACATAGACGACCCCATTTAATCTTCACATTAGACTCTTTATATAATTCAGTAAGCAAGGAAACAAATTTAAAACTAATACCATATTTCAAGAGTTTTTTCCACATTAAATTCCTATCTACAGTATCGAAAGCTGAGGACAAGTCAACAAAAAATGCATAAACTTTTCTCCTTTTTTTCATTAATGTCTTAGTAATAAGAGTATGCAGAATAAAAATATTGTCCAGCGTAGAATATTTTTCACGAAATCCGGCCTGATTCTCAAATAAAACATCGTTTAAATTTAACCAGGTAATCAACCTATAATACAATATATTACAAAATATCTTTGACACACAGTTCAGTAAAGAAATTCCTCTGTAATTACTAGGGATCAACTTAGATCCATTTTTATATACTGGACATAAAATAGCACTACTCCAATCTTTTGGGACTTCCCCAGATCTTAAGATCCTATCAAAGCTTCTAAGCAATATCGGAAAAACAGCATCCATTCTCCAAAATTCAGAAGGTATCCCTTCATCCCCAGGCGCAGTACCAACTTTAATTTTATTTAAAACATAACTCAATTCAGAGTTCAAAATATCTGCATCCAAAATTTCATTAGACCAAGTTAAACACTCATTAAAGACAGACAAATCTACAATATAAGGAAGTGAAGAACCATATAAAGAGTAAAAATAAGTAAACCATTCCTCCATAGAAATGTTCACTCTACTATTATAATTTCTAATTCTACATAGATTCCAGAACCATTTATTATTTTTACGAAAGACCCCAGAACTCTAAACCGTATACAAAAACTTTTTCTTCTTAGCTAAACAAATCTTTTTAACTAAGCCACGAAATAACAAATAATTTACGGTACGATTCCATACCATTTTTCTTAAAAGCTCTCCAAACTCTATTTCTGTTACGAATCATTAAACGACAATCTAAATCAAACCAATTATTATTATTTATATAATCCTTTGGTTTTATATTTATATTATTAGCACTAGCTATCTCAANACTGAGAACTGTTGTTTTTCTCTTACTGGAATTTCTGCAGCATCGTAGTAATTTCTGAGCATGCTCTATACATAAAATCATGAAGCTACTAAAGAGGACACAAATATTTCTTGCGAAATCTATGAATAGTGCAACCTTTAAAACGTTGGGGGTGGCGAAACACCCCACCTGCACTAGCCCAGGGTTAACAGATGTATTTTTTATTCATAAACCATAAGCAAAACATTTATGCGTATTGTATCTTTGTATTTGCAATTCTCTTTTGATCTTCTACGGTTACGATAAACTTAAATTAAAAATAAGTTTCTCGAATTTAAATATACTTTTTTAATCATTTAAAAAAAGACCCACAGAAAGGCAAAATGTGCTGTTTTAAAGCGATTTATTGTAACAAGTAAATATTTGCTCGAACAATGGCAGATTGCTTACAAAAAGCCTTCAGATAGAGACGTCACGTAACATTACTTTAGACATACGCTTTATTATAGCATCTGCAGCGTTGCTGTTCGCTGAATGCCTCGACATTTGTAAACTTTGTAAAGATTGATGCCATGCAGGTTAAGATGAAATTGCTGTAACATATAACTCAACGTTTCTATTTGAGAAACTTTCCAAGAACTATTTCAGTGAGAAAACAAGCAAAGGACAAACTGTATCCTATCACGAGGATTCCAAGTGCACCGTATAAATCTGCTACAAATAAAGGTTTCACCGCATCTTCAAAACTGGGTACATGAAAAACTTCATTTTTAAAAATTTTTGTCTCAAATATTCTTCGTACTCTAGAAATACACAAATAATTTGTAATGGTTGTGATGCTTTAAAATATTTGATCATCAGTAAATTATCAACTTACAGTTTGTTAACTTGTTTTTTATACGGAAATCCTTTTCTCATGGCAAATCCTTTATAAACTGTAGAAAGAACATCACCAGATTTCACATAGTTTGATCCATAAGCAACTACAACAAGATTCTCAGCGGAAGCAGTTCCGATAACCACCATTCGATCTTTTCTAAGAATATCGGTAAACAATTTTCCTGCAAAAGCCTTCGCTTCTTTATGACTTTTAGCTTCTCTATCTACGTAATTTTTGAAAAACTTTTTCACGAAAGCAGCTTTCATTCGTTTCACCTTTGCACTCATAACATCAATATGTTTTTTGCTTTCTGTAACAAAAAGTCTTGCGTGTTTTGTTCTTAACTCCTGCATATAAAGAAAATAAATTTCATTAATTAATATTGTTTAAAAATCGAAATTTCCACAAATTAGAAAATACGAGGTGGTTAGAATTAAACTAACGTTATTCAGACGTTCGAAGAGCTTGCTCCTCTGAACAAAAACGAACAAAACTCGGTACATATGAATGCAATTCGTAACGGAGAGATTTAAAAATATAAAAATGTAGTTGAAATATTTACACGAAGGAAAATTTGTCGCTGCAAGAATGACAGTTTTAAGACAAGCGGACAACATTTTATTACAAGAATAACTTTAGTTTCAACTGTCTAATGTTACTTTTTGGAAGGAATATAAAGACATGTCCTACTATTCTGTTCTTCATCATCGATAAGGTGTGCATACGATCCACTTAGCAGAATCTTTTAAATAAATTCACGGCCATTAATATACACTTTCGATCGAATACTGCCGCATTTTACTGATGGTGATAATTTTAATTAATTTTCACACCGTAATCCTCTTATTCGTGATCCAAATTGCATGCGTGCCGTGTTTCATTTAATTCGGTTAAATAGAGTTTAATTTTAACCATCCTGAAATTGTTTCTCGACCTCACAAAAATGAAACGTGACCAAAATAAAACGTTTAGTTTATTTACAACATACAACTGTTGCAATTCGAATGACTTCGACTTAAAAATGTCATAATTTTACGTTAAAAATTGAAATCTGTTAATAATTACATTTAGTCCTTTTAAAATTTCTTGTAAAAAAAACACTTAATATAAGACAAGAAGACATCGTTTTAAATAATTTCTAATCAAATAATATTCAATTGTATATATACATAATATTTTACTAATAGAATACTTAAAATAAAAATAATTTTTTTTGTGTGAGCGTCAGAAATCGCCAATAAAAATAAGTACTTAAATATATAAAACGATTTTATTTATGAAAAAATAATATATTCTGTATTTCCTGTTTTCATCAGCAAAAATGTTATTCAAACCTAGAAACAATCAACAAAAAATTTGCCAAAGTCACAATTTTGATCATAAACCACATCATAAAGTGATTTAAGAGACTAAATATATTAATCTTAATGTCTAAACAATATAAGATAAATATAATATGAGCAATTATTTATTGTGACGTGGTCATTATACCGGACTTCAATTTTTAATTATACTTGAAATTTTTAATTTAAAGATATATTGTTTTCATCTCAAATTAGTAGTATCTATCCCCTGTACATAATACTTTTCCTGTTGGCAAGCCCCAGTATATCATATTTTTCTTGTTAGTAACAGTCATGACATTATTTATTTAACTCCTTATCTTCTTGGAATGATAAGGAGTTAATTTTCTATTGATTATAATTTTACAATTTATACATGTTCTTGTTGAGGACACTTCTAAGATTATATAAGAGTATTTTTTAAAAACTATATTAATAACAATATTTCATGAGATGAGCTAACTTTTCAACGTGTCGTATATGGCACATTGGGTCTCTATGTTACAATAATTACATTACAGTGTATGAACTGTTTTCGTATTTGCAAGTTATTTACTTTTATAGATATTAGGTCATTAGGACCGCAATATGTATTCTATTATTTATTATCATTTTTTATTCAATTAATTTATTAAAAAACATAATTATTTATTTTTATTCATCACAAATTTATGTGAATTTTTTTGTATACTTATTTATTTGGTCTGCAAAAATTTTTATTATTATAAACTTATAAATTCTTAATATCATAAATCACATATTTATAATAAATGTCAATGATTTAGTTTTAATTTCTCATTGTCAACAGTCGAAATAAATAAGAAACATGATAGGACACATGATATTGATAGAAATCTCTCTAAAGTGGAAGGCTGGTTCAGTGATAAAGACAGTGACAAAACATTTGTTCTTTGAGCAGACTGTCCTGGAGAGTGTAAGTCATTAGTCTGCTCAAATAACGAATTAAAAAAGTGTCAAAATCGCTATCACATTCAGACAGTACAGGCAATAAGAAAAAAGGGATCAATAAAAATGACGAAAAAAAATTATTAAACTTTGCATCCCAGCGAAATACAATGCAAAAATAAAGCAAAATACATACCAGAAATCATTGTAAATTGCAAAAATTACCACTGTCCAATGAAAGAATGTAAAAATGTATGAGCTACAGTGTACTGTATCAACTGCAAAATACATCTGTTCCTTGGTAAAATAAAAATGGTTACAAAGTATATCATATGTAAATATAGAATGTCAAATAATGTACAAAAACAGTAAAATAAACCATTTTTACATGAACGGAAAAGTTTGCATTTTGTATAGGTAGAGAACCATAGTGTCATATATGACACGTACCATTTTTTAATTACCAGAACAAAAATATTTTAGAAAAATTACAATTTACTAATAAGTGATATTTAAAGGTCAAAAGCATAACAATACTTCAATAAAAAAATAGTATCTTTCAGTTGTGGATCTCAAGAGGTTACAGGGAAAAACTTTGGGTAAAATAACGTGATTTTGCATTGGAAGTTCGTATACAGTAAATCGGGGCCTCCTGCCCCAACGGTTTTCATATCTGGTGTTGGATTTCATCTCTCTAATCCCATTCTCGAGATTAAGGAAAGATAGACAAATGAGGAAAGTGGAAATTTATAGGTCAACAATTTTTTCTAATTGTAGCCCAATAAATTTTAAATTGTAGCCCAGTCAAAATAAACAATGTCAAAATGAAATAGTAGAATTTTTAAATGTACTATTTACCTTTAAATATCGATCTAAGTAAACATGCGGAATCAGTACACATGTATATTCTCGTCTTTCAATGCCTTCTGCTAATTCGTCAAACGTGTTCGGAACCGGTTCATCAGTTTGTAAGGCCATAAATGACGTCAATATTCCGGCGTAACCCCAGATCAAGACTGCTGTCATAAGCAACCAGATGCCAAATGCTATTCTAGAAGATAAACGATTCACGTTGTTGCTGTCGACTCCTGAATATTAATGTAAAAAATTATAATTCACTGTTATAAATTAGAAAACAGTGTATATTGTGTAGATTTACCTTGAGACATTAACGTTGACATCAGATACCAATACGTTCTCCTTAAAGTCCATGGTTCTCCTTTATTGTCTTTCACGAATTTCCGGAATATTAATCCAAAGATTGTAATGGTAAAGATCAAGGCCAACCAAACCTTTCATGGAACAAGAAGGAAAAGTAAATAATACGTTTTACAGGAAAAATTTTCCCACCCGTTTTAAGAAATTCTATACGACTAATCAAGAAATTTCTACCTGTTTTGTAAACGGGTTCACAACTGATTGCCATGGTTCTTTTTGTGCCGTTTTATATAGAAATGAATTGGTTCGACATCCGAGACTGCTGAGAAGTCCACACGTTGAAATGTTTTGTTAGATAGTGCAATAGGTACTGCCACAATATCTGCAAACTACATTGTGACAAAATAATAAACTTACACATTTCTTTTCGTTATTAGTACATGTACACCATCGAACTTCCGGCAACTGTTGGTATATCTTCTCCTTTAATCCGAAAAAAATTACAAGAAATAACAAGCAATTCTCTGGACACTAGACTAGTTTATTGGGCAGCCACATTTGGCATTGTGTGTGGTTTTATTTATATTATATGCAC